CTGCCCGTTACCCGGTCCTGGGCCTCAGCTCATGGGCCCCCTAGGCAGGGCTAACTCACGCGTCATCCGGCCCAGAGCTCACAGTTTGGATGTTCAGCAGCCTAGCCTCTGCTCCCATCTTTAAAAACAAGTGGACACAAGCTGTCTGATTCCACCGATGTGAAACACCCAGGCAAACCAACCGAGACAGAAAGCAGATTTTCAGGGGCTGAGGGGAGTGGGGAGAAACGGGAATGACTGCTTAAGGGGTTCAGGGTTTCTTTTGGGGGTGAACAGGTCCTAAAATTGATTGTGGTGATGGTTGCACAACTCTGTGGATATGCTACAAACTGTTGAATTGTATACTTCAGATGGGTGAAGTGTATGGTATGGGAATTATATCTCAATAAAGCTGGTATAAAACAAAGAAACAAAACAAATCAAGCAAGAAGAGGGAGATAGGAGAAGGTGACACCCCCAAGAGCTGGGGACAGAACTGTCTGTGCGCAGCCCGGGAACTAACTATGGAGGACGAGGGGGGTGCAGAGGAAGACTGGGGGGCAACTGGGCAGGCAGCCTGGACAGCCCCTGGGGCCAGAGCCCTGGGGGCTTCCAGCCTTGACCATGGAGTGTTTGGAAGAACATGGGGTCAGAAGCCAGCTCACCAAGATTCTGGTGATAGCCTGGGCCTCAGACACCCCCGCCCCGCGCAGCAAAACCCAGAGAGAAGACACAGCAAGGAAAATCGCTCCACTTCTGGCCTCGCTGCTGCAGCGCCAACAAGCACATCAGGCCACACCAGGGACCTTCCGTCAATGACTCACCTTCCTGAAATCACGCTTCACAACCTGCATCCTATACGGATGGATCCCCCAGGGTCCCACAGCTCCAAGGACTGGAAGATTCCACACATTCTCAAGAACTACATTCTGCTTTTCAAACCAAACATCTTTGTGACATGTTGATAGTCACTCTTTTCCCCCACTGGCCACCCGGGAAACTGAACTGACAGCACGAGCAGGGGCAAGGCTCACGCCAGAAATGTACAGTGTCCTGAGATGCTCACCAGTGACAGCCCAAGTGAAGTCAGACCTGGGAGGCCTTCAGGGCCCAACACCCACCAGTGTATCATTCAAAGCTGTCACAGAAGCAGAAGCCAGGGCTCCACCCTCAGCGTAAGCTCCCGGGCAGGTCACCTCACCCTCAGGAACCTGCAGGGTATGTTCTGTGGAGTGTCCTCGATCTTAAGGGGCCAAGAGCAGAGTTGTCAAGATGCTTCAAGGAGAATAAGCAGGGCCTGATGATGACAGACACGGGGCACAGAGGGGGACATGGAAGAAGGGAAACTTCTCAGACTGCTATCTAAAGGTGGGCATGCCCTTTTTAAGGAGCTATTAACAATTAACATCCATATCATATAAAGAACTGTTACAACTCAATAAAGAAAAAGGAAAGCAACCCCAAAGAAAAACGGGCAGAAGTTACAATTTTCTCACGGTAATTACCTATAGTCAATAAACATTTAAAGATGCATAAATTTGCAAGTAATTGGTGGAATGTAAATTAAAGTATCGATAAGACAAGCTTTTTCACCCAACAGATTAGAAAAAACTTAAGAAGGGTAAAAGCCAGTGCTGCTGAAAGTGTGGGGAAACAGGCCTTCTCGGGGCCATTGGGCAGCATCTGCCAAAACTCCAAAGTGTTTGCACTCCAACCCAGCGATTCCACCTGGAGGAATCCAGCCTCCAAAAATACACACAAATGAACACACACACTCAAGGACACTCACTGCAGTGTTATTTTTAATAGCAGGAAATCTACAGACAACCTAAGTGTCCTTCAACAGAGAAACGAGTGAACAAATGACGATGTCCCCATATAAGCAGGGACTCCACAGGCGTGAAGAGAAGGTCGGAACATGTTACCAGGGACGCCATGTGTAGGATGGGGTTTCCAGAGACTTTCATTGTAACTCTGTATTAAACTTTCATACAGAAAAATCAGAAAAAAAACTTCAAAGGAAACAAGCTACTGAGGTGATGATTATGGACCCACTTAAGTAAAATATAAAACCAAGTATACAGACACATATGTACATACATGGAACTGTACAGAAAGGCTCTGAGGGCTCATATCTGTATGCTCCTGTTATGGTTTAACTTTTTTCTTTTTGAAGGCAACATGTTCTGAGTTTTTATTTTTATACTTGTTATCCAATTTTTTTTTTTTTTGAGGAAGATTAGCCCTGAGCTAACACTGCCACCAATCCTTCTTTTTACTGAGGGAGGTTGGCTCTGAGCTAAGATCTGTGCCCATGTCCCTCTACTTTATAGGTAGGATGCCTGCCACAGCATGGCTTGACAAGCAGTGCATAGGTCCAGGCCCAGGATCTGAACCAGCAACGCTCAGGCCGCCAAAGCAGGGTGCACAAACTTCACCACTACGCCACCAGGCAGGCCCCTATGTTTTAACATTTTTATGACAACCATGCTTAAGCATAACTTTAATTTCAAAAGGAAAAAATCCAGCCTGGGCTAGAGCCTATGCTGGAGACAGCCAACAGAATGCTGTTCCGGTTTCCTGCTGGTTTGTGACTCTCCCCCACCATCGCCCATGTGGGAAGAAACCCTCAGATCCCTTATGACCATCACCCTCGGGGGAGGAGTCCCTCAGATCCCTTATGGCCCATCGGAGGAGGAGTCCCTCAGATCCCTTATGGCCCATCGGGGGAGGAGTCCCTCAGATCCTTTCTACCATTGCCTCGGGGGAGGAGTCCCTCAGATCCCTTATGGCCCATCGGGGGAGGAGTCCCTCAGATCCTTTCTACCATTGCTGTGGGGGAGGAGTCCCTCAGATCCTTTCTACCATTGCTGTGGGGGAGGAGTTCTCCAGCTCCTTTCTCCATCCAGATCCCTGCTCTGAGCTCCAAGTCTTTACAACCAGTCTCCATGGCAACACCGCCCTCCAACTCCACCAAATGAAAGCAGGACTTGTCCTCCACACTGATCCCTCCCTCTGGTGTCCCATCTCAGCACAGGATAGGCCACCACCTCCACAATGACCCCCCTCTCCCTGACTGTATCCACACTGTCACCAAATCTTAAATCTCTCTCAGACACATCTTTGCTCCCACCTCCCCCTGCCCCACAGAGAGCCTCAGTCTCCCACCTGCTCGTCAACTCCTACCCCCGCATTCGCCCTCCATGTTGCAGCCAAAATGGCAGCCTGAGAAGAGGAAGTTGATTTGTAGTTACTTCCTGCTTCAACTCTTCACTGACTGTCCACGGCTCCCAGGATCAGGGGCAATTCCTTAACAAGGCCTGGCAACGCGCCTGGCCGCCTCCCAGCCACCCTCCCCACCCCCTGGGCTCCAGCATCCTGACCCGCCTCAGGTCCTGGGTGCTGCACAGGAGAGCCCCATCTTCTGGAACTCTCTTCTCCTTCTCCCTCTGCCCCACAGTGCCCAGTTAATTCCTAGTCATGCTTTAGACTTCAGCTCGGTCCTTAATCCTTCCGTGCTTATTCTGACCCTCCCCCTAACAGCTTCCGCTGTTCAAGGTTTCCATAATACCCTGTCACCGTGCTTCAAAGAATTCCTCTCTGTTTGAAATCCAGTATTTCTGTGATGTTAGATTAACGTCTGCCCCCCAGCTCTGAGCGCCGTGAAAGCAGAGAATAGTCACAGCGTCCAGACGCCCAGCACAGCGTCTGGGCAAGGCTGGGCGCAGAGGGTAGAGAGCGGATCAAAGGCTTAAACAAATGTTTAAATACTCTACATATCTTTAGACCTTTTTATTTTAGAATTTTCAAATGTACACAGAAGCAGAGAGAAGAGTAGACGGAACTCCCATGTGGCCATCATCCAGCTTCAATTACCACCAGCGTGCTGCCATCTTTTCTACCCACCCCCTCATACCCTTTTTCTTCTTCTTTTTTTGTTTTTTGAGGAAGATTAGCCCTGAGCTAACATCTGCTGCCAATCCTCCTCTTTTTGCTGAGGAAGATGCCCTAACATCCATGCCCATCTTCCTCTACTTTATATGTGGGACGCCTGCCACAGCATGGCTTGCCGAGCGGTGTCATGTCCGCACCCAGGTGGCACATGCGAACTTCACTGCTGCGCCACCAGGCCGGCCCCTTTTTTCTCCTTTTACTCATAAAAACTTCAGCACGTAGCTATACTTTTACGCACATAAATGCACATACAGGGGGAACACTGTGCATGTACCCAGAGGCGCACACACAACGACCGGGCAGCACGCTGTCCGCAGCGAGCACCGTGCGGGGCTCTGTGGGCCACGCGCTCGGGTCCTCAGGCAGCCTCAGCAGGGCCCTCGACACAGCCGCCCAGGACTTCAGGTGGTAAAGTTATTTGGCTGGGAGCCGAATCTCTTCCAGCACGCTGTCACACCCTTCCCGACCTGAACAAACACAAAGAGACACGTCCCATCGAGTCACCCACTTGGCTGAACTGTGCACCTGGTCACCCTCTGGGACGCTTCCTTTACGGGCGTTCTTCTCCCCTACACAAAGCATGCCTACGAAGCAAACGGAGAACGACAAAAACAGGAAGGCCCGAGCCTGCGGAGGCTGAGGAGCCAAGGCCTGCCCGAAAATGGGGACAGGCTCCGAACCTGGACCCCAAAGAAAACAAACGATGCCATGGTTTCCATGCCCACTTCCAAAGAAATATAGTAGGGAGGGTCCATCGCAGTTACAAGCAGGCACTGCCAGCACTTGCTGATTGTATGACAAAAAGGGACAAATATGTTTATCCCAACTCACAAGTCATTTCACAGCTGTTCGTTTTGGCAGCCACCACTGTGGAGGCAGTGTGGGCTCGTGGCACACATCTTCACCGGCACCCTCAGGGGACTCTCATATGCCAAAGGCACATACGTGTCCAAAGGAAAACAGGTTGAAGCAACAGAGTCAATATTTAAAAGCACAGGAAAGCTTTTTTAAAAAAGCCCACTAATAAACTTAAGAGCTTTATCAGTGCCCACGCCTTATCCACTTACCAAACCAGATCACACGCTGCTTCCAGCCAACTCTCCGGGCCGGATGCACTGAGCAGGCCACCGCATGGAACCCTGTTGAGAGGCCCACGTTGGCTGAGCGTCCCTCCGCGGTGGCCTGTGCTGAACCAGCCGCCCAGCCTTCCCTGCCCGTCAGCTCCCTGCTCCAAGCAGCGCCCGAGACTCCCCCAGTCGCCCCCATGCTCCGTCTCCGCACCAGCACGCCTGAGTCTCCAAGGCCAGGACCAGCAAGCGACACACTCGGTCAGGGGGCTTCGGCCTTCCCAGGGCCGCGAGTCGCTCTAACCTCGCTCCGCCTCACTCAATCCCACCATCAGTAAAAACGGGATGGTCACACCGAGCTCATGAGGGTGCTGTGAAGATTAAATGAGAAAATACATATGAAGCATTCAACAAATATTAACTATTTTTATTAGCCTTTGAAGATTTCAAATTTGGTTAAAAATTATGAGTAAAAACTCCAAAGTTATTTATAAATTAACTTCAGATAAATCATTATTGCTACTTTATTAAAAAAAACATTAATTTGTTATTTACATTGTTCTGACCGGAACTATGAAATCCTTCTGGGATACAGTTCAGATAGTCGAGGGAAAGAAAAAGTCCTTCAGATGGCTGTGGAACCTCTGACAAGGTGCCTAATAGCATCATGCCTTAATCTCAGCTATGAAATGCGATAACAATTAGCCTACTCTGAAAAGCGGCAATAACAAACAATAAAAGCTGCTGTTCCACTCTTACGCACCTAGCAAACACACGATACTTTGAAAACACTCACTGGATATTGAGAGAAGGCAGGCTCCTGGCAAAGCCCCATGGGCCTGGGTTCCTCCCATGAGACTCCTGGTAGTTTGCATCCACACCATTAAACTCCGAGAGCCAGCTCCTCTCTGCACAGACACAGAGGCACACGGGTGATCACTGGAAGTTACAATACCAAGGAAGAGCTTGGGGATCACCCAGTGCGAAACCATCATTTTAAAGACAGCCTTGCCAAGGCCGTTCAGACACACCTCAGTGCAATCCCTGCTGGCCAGCACCCTGTCATCATGCAGCCTCCACCTTGCCCAGCAACTGGGGAATGCTCACTCACGCCATGCTCTTCTGGGAGATTTGATGTGGACCATAGCCAAATCTGCACCTCTAATTGGGCCTTATATTTTTACCTTTACTTGTATTGCCTGTGTCTTTTACACTGCAGCAGTCCAGCTGAATCCCTGGCACCCAGAACACTGGAAAGTGCTAAGTAAATATCTTGTCGAGTGACTCACCCCAGCATTATGAGGTAGGTACTGCCATCCCTACGTTGCACGTGAGGAGACAAGCTTACCAAGGTTAAGTCAACTGCCAGTCGCCTTAGCTAGTAAACTGCCATTAGGTATCTTGACTGGGATGTCCCCAAGGCCCCATGCACCCACCCTCCCCACTCCGCCTCCACTGCCCCTCCACCAGTCTCCTTCCTGTACTCCCCACGCTGGCCCTGCTCCTGCCCTGGCCCTGCTGAACTGCCCAGGTTCAGCCCCCGACTCTGGCTCCCCAGCACTTCCTGCCACGCCCTTCCCTACAAGCTTCTCCTCTTTTGAGCTTTTCCCTACAATGCACCCAGGCTAAGCCCTCCCAAGCCAAATCTGAATGAGCTCTCCTGCAAGTAAAGCCTTGCCATGGCTCCCCACACCCTTGAGAATAAAACTCAAGCTCTACCTCCCACTTCACACGCCAGCACCTGGCTCGATGAGATCCTCTCCACTCCAGTGTCTGCTTCTAACTCTCCAAACACATCACAAACGGCCTGGCCTTCCTGCTCACACACTTTCTGTGCCTCAGATGCTCATATTGCCTGGCAATTCCAGTTTCCCTGACGCTCAGGCCTCCCTCCTTCGGGAAGCCCTCCCTGCCCCAACCCCACCTCAGGCTCAGGCAGGGACACGTGATGCTCGTCACCACATGTACAGAGATATAATCACCTAGTTACGCATCCACCTCCTGGATTCAACAACAAACGCCTTAAGGGCAGAGACTAGGTCTTTTTTATCTCGGATGCTGAGCACCTGGCACAAGGTCTGCACTTCACAGAAACTCAAATGTCTTAATGACTCAGTCCCCCTGGTTCTCCAGAACTAGGAGTCATCTTAGATTCAGCTGTGATGGGTAGCCAGTGACGCCTGTTGATTATCTCCAAAATCTCTCTGAAATCCTGCTTAAATCCTGCTTCCATCTCCATCCCCACTGCACTCCCCGGGCTGAAATTAACTTCCTTCCTCCAACATCCCCTTTGTACAAATACAATTCCTATCTGGTTCCTGCCAGAGTCGCTTTACTGAAACACACATCTGTTGTTAGTTCCATGCCTGAGGACCCTCTGCAGCTTTTCACCACTTGCAGGGGCACTGGGGGTCCTCCACACTCTTTCCCCCTGTCCCCCTCCAAGCCCACCTACTGTCTACCCACAGGCCCAACACTGGTCTGGCAGCCATTCTCAGAACTCTCCAGACACATCGATGGCCCGTGCAGGCTTTCAGGCATCCCTTTTGCCAGGAGCGGCCCACTGCCACCTCATCTTCAAGGCCCAGTTTAGAGGTCATCTCCTGGGTGGAACCTGCGCGGACTCCCCCTCCTGCCACGCAGAACTCACGCCTGGCCTCCACTCTGTCCTCTACCGCACTTTCAACGCTACCCCTTTCACTGCAAGGTCTGGTCCCTCACTGGGCCCCCCGCAGGTGAGCCAGGCCAGGCCCAGGCCGTGGCACCCGCTGCAAGCACGCGCGTGAGTCAGCCACAGGCCAGGCTGTTTCCTTCGATTTAACAAGTGCAGTGTTGAACAGCGGCGCACCCTGCCCGCTGTAACAATGGGAATAAAGAGCTCAGGAATAAGACGTGCCTGGCTCAAAGCCAGGGGGTGGGCAGGGCTGGGACCCGGACCATCGGACTAGAAGTCTTATTCACCAACAGTTAAACAAAACCCCGCACAGCCGGCGACGGCAGGCCTAAGAAACCACGGGGGGCTCCGGGGCCGGCGCCGGCAGTTCCGCACCGCCGCCACCGCGCTCCTGCGGACCGAGCTCCTTCTATCTGCAACTCCCCGCCGCGGAGCCGAGCGTTCCGTTCCCTGCACACACTCTGCTTCCCGCAGCCGAAGTGGGAACTTGCGGGGACGCTGATGCTTACGGCGCCCGCCAGCGAGAAGCAGACTGGGCCGACCGCACCGCTCTCCTGAGCCGGGCACGCCTCCAGCCTCGGCGCCCCGGTGCGCATGCGCCCCCGGCCGCCGCCCGCCCCCGGCTCGCGTGCACACGCCGCGCCGCGCCCGCCGTGCGCACGCGCATGCGCAGCCCGCCCTGGCACGCGCCTCGGTCCCTGGGGCGGCGGCGCGGCCCGGGTGGGGCGCGTGGGCCCGGCTCCCTCTGCCGGCCTGCGCGCCGGCCTCCCGAGCGCCCACGCTGGGTGCCCCGGACCGGCCGGGGGTGAGCGGGCGCCGGGGCTCCGGGTCGTGGGCCCGCGCCTCCCTCCCGGCCACGGGCGGACCCTGTTCGTCTTGAGTGGCGGCCGAGCGCACGGCTCTGCGGGCCGCGTCTCCCCGGCCTGTCCTCCGCGGCAGGCGGCCCCGAGGGCGGAGGCGGTCCACCTCTTCTGGGCCTCAGTGCCGCAGCCGGAAGGCGGGCAGTGATCGTGATCGTGCCTCCCGGGGCGGGCTGCACGTGAGGTCACATGAGTTAGCGTAAGTGGAGAATGAGAGTGGTCCCTGGCAAGCGCTAGATGAGCGTTTTGGTGTTATTATTACCGGTTTTATTAGAGCTGTGTGTAACGGGATGTTTAATGGGCCTTTTCCTGTTACCCTGGAATTTATGAGTCACGGTGCAAAGATGACCCAGATGCGTTTCGCATCCCACACGGTAAAGAGAATTCGCAACATAAAAGCACCCAGAGCTTGCTAAAGAGCTGCAGAACCAGACCTGCCAGAGGAGAAGAGAGCGTGGGGGAATGTGGGGACAGAGATGGCGATATTCCATGTCTTGATTGGGTGGTAGAATTCAGAGACCTCTACACCTAAAGAGGGTGCTGTGTAAATTGCACCTCAAACCTGAAGAAAATTAATTTTCTGGGAGACTCCATTAAGAAAACGAAAGGCAAGCCCCAGACTGAGAGGTTATGAAAACACATATCTGATAAAGGACTTCTATCCAGAACAGGTAAAGAACTCATTCAACCGTGTAATAAAACTGCAAACAACAGAAGCTTCCCAGAAGGAGATACACAGATGGCAAATAAGTACAAGAAGGATGCTCGACCATCATCTTCATGAGGGAAACACAAAGCCACAGTGAGACACGGCCACACCATTGTCCGTCCACTCGAGTGGCCAAAGAAGGCTGACATCGGCAAGCACCAAGGTTGCAGAGCTGCTGAAATTCTCATCCGTTGCAGACAAGAGGGCAAAATGGTACAACCAATTTGGAAGCATTTTGGTGGTTTCTTCTAAAGTTGCCATACACTTACCCTTCAACCCAGTACTCCCACTCCTAGGTACTTACCCAACAGGGACGAAAACGTGTCCGCACCAGACTTGTACTAAGTTCTCACATTTTTAATTGGATCTCCAGTTATCACGATACGAAGGTTGTAGTTGGTCACGCTGATTCAAGCACTTGTTGCCATTCATTTTATTGTGACTCCTGAGGACATGTTGATAATTTTCTATTGGTTTCACTCATATCTCATGCAGTTATAAAAACAGTCTATATACTGGAGGTTTGTGGGTACTCATTTTCATTCTTTGGCTCAGCAAAGACTAGGGTTAAGTGTCTGGCCCTTTGCTGGTCCCTGTGTCTACAGAGATGACCAGTCACGTCCTTGTGGACTAGTGGAGGGCAGAGTAGCAACTGGCCACAAGCCCTGACTTGAGCGACTGCCCGGTAAGATCCTGATTCTGATCCTGACTCTGCCACTCCCTAGCCCTGTGACAAGTCAGTGTCATCCTCTAGACAGTGGGTGTTCTGGTGGCTGAGCTCGAAGATTAGAATCTGTGATATTATGAGTTATGATAAGAAATTCAGTCACCTGTGCTCAACAATGGGGATATATTCTCAGAAAGCTGCGTCATCAGGCGATTTCCTTGTTGTGTGAACTTCGTAGAGTGTACTTACGAACCTAGCTGGTAGCCGGCTGCACACCGAGGCTCTGTGGTTAGCCTGGTGCTCCTCGGCTGCAAAGCTGTGCAGCATGTCACTGTCCTGAGTACTGGAGGCAACTGTGACACAACAGTATTTGTATATTTAGACATATCAAAACAGAAATAGCACAGTAAAAATATGGTATAAAAGATAAAAAATGGCACATCTGTATGGGGCGCTTACCGTAAATGGAGCTTGCAGGTCTGGAAGCTGCTCTGGGTGAGTGAGTGGGTGATGAGTGAGCAAAGGCCTCGGATGTTCCTGGACACTGCCGCAGACGTTATAAACTGTACACTTAGGCTACACTAAATTTATAAAAAAAGATTTTTCTTTCTTTAATAATAAACTAACCTTAGCTTACTGTACCTTTTTTATTTTATATACTTTAATTTTTTTAACTTTTTGACTCTTTTGTGATAAGACAGCTTAAAATGCAAACACATTGTACAGCTGTACAAAACTTTTCTTTGTATCCTTATTCTATAAGCTTTTTAAATTTTTTTATTTTATTCTTTTACTTCTTAAACTTTTTTTTTAAAAAGTAAGACTAATGCACACATTAGCGTAGACCTGCACAGGGTCAGGATCCTCAGTATCACTGTCTTCCATCTCCACATCTTGTCCCACTTGCCAAGGTCTTCAGGGACAATACCACACGTGGACTGTCGTCTCCTATGGTCACAGTGCCTCCTCCTGGAACACCTCCTAGAGGGCCTGCCTGAGGCGCTTCTTGAGGAGTGTCACTCTTTCAGAAATATGACTATGGCGGTTTGCTTGGTTTGTTTCTTTTTTTTATCATAGATTTGCTTGTAAGCAGATAACACACCATACACATTCCTCTCTATTAATGAAAACCTTTCAGTGTTGGGGTGCATGTTTTCAAACCTTTTAAGAGGCATGTCGAGCAAAAGCGTCTGCTGAACCCCTCACTGAATTTTCTTGGGGGTTCCTTTTCTTGTCTTGTGGTTTCCTTTTCTCTTGCCTCTTTTTTAGCTATGCATTCCTGTCCGGTTCCAACAACTCGTCGTCCGTCAGTTCCTTAGGAACCACCTCCAGGAGCTTCTCAACGTCGTTCTCACCCAGGTTAAAGTTGTTTGCCGTCTCAGCCACGGCCTTGTTGACTTTTGCAGCCTCCTCATCCTTGGCAAATCCTTTGGAGTCATATACGAACCTCCTGAGTGTCTTCTTCCAGATGCCATTCATACACTCCTTGGTGACATGACTCCAAGCCCAAGCAACGTTCTTGATGTAGTCGTAGATGTTGTAATCCTTCCAGAACTGCATCAGTGTCTTCCTCATGTTACTGAACCAGGTTCGTTTTTGCCCACCGCCCAGAAAGCCAAACACCGAGACACCGAGATTGCAGCAGAGAGAGGGTTTACTCATTAGGCAGCTGCGTGAGGAAGGGAGAGCATGAGGCTCAAATTTGCTTCCCTGCAAATAGGGACTCAGGGATATTTATGGGATGGGGGAAAGGTGGTCTGAAATGTGGAGAGAGGTGATTGGAGGTGAGGAGGGGTGAGGTCATTGATGACCTGCACAAGTGTAGTCAGATTCCATGCCTCTTCACAGGACGCATGTACACAAAGTGGCAGCATTAGCATGATCTGAGGGTGGAGTTTTTATCCACTTGACATCAAAAGGTCACGTATTGGTGGCGTAGCAGTTAAGTGTTCACATTCTGCTTCGGCGGCCCAGGGTTCGCTGGTTCGGATCCCGCGTGGGGACATGGCACCACTTGGCACGCCATGCTGTGGTAGGAGTCCCACATATAAAGTAGAGGAAGATGGGCACAGATGTTAGCTCAGGCCCAGTCTTCTGCAACAAAAAGAGGAGGACTGGCAGCAGATGTTAGCTCAGGGCTAATCTGCCTCAAAAAATAAATAACAGATTTTTTTTAAAAAGGGGTCACCTATCGGACATCTCCACCTGCCCAGTTGATGAGTTGGTGGTCTCAACAGGCCCGAACTGGACAAAGGGGTTCTAATTCCTGAAAAACAGCTCACACACCCATTACCATGGTGACCCAGGCTGCAGGGAGATGTTATCTGTAGGAGCCTAGTGGGAGTCAGACAGCATGTTGCCTAAGCAGCACAGTTAATGATGGGCGAGTTAAACAGCTGAAAGCTACAATCAGTAATTGAAAACAGGAAAAAACTTCAGTACCTAGATACTTAATCATCAATGGCTGTTTGCCAGTTTCATTCAGTTGCAACAATAGCCTGGGCAAAGGTCCTACTCAGGTAGCAGGTCTTAAAAGATGTTATAACTCCTTGATCCATTGGTTGGATCAAAGAAGTGGTATTTGGAGGGAGAAACGCCACTTCGATACTGAGATAAAGATCACCAATAAAAGGAGGATGTCTGGGGACATTATCAACAATAAGCGAAAATCTTGAAAGGCATGCTTTTCCCCAAACAGCAGTTCTCCATTTTGCTGGCACAGCAATTCAGGAGGGCATCTTGGAAGAGGAGCTGAGTCATCCATGACTTCTCACTGCTGTAGTACACTGCCAGTGTGTACTTATCAGTGTGCTTGAAGGCCTGGGGTTCTCACTGGGCCAGATCATAAAGGGTTTCAATTTGTAGCCTGCAACATTACCCCCAAGTAAGACTGTCCTTAAAAGCCTTAAAGGCCGGCATTGACTTGGCCTCCTTATGGATGAAAGTCCTTTCAGACAGCCATTTCTAAAATAGGGAGGTTTCATCCATAGTGAATATTTGCTCTGGCAAGTAATTTTTCGCCACAATCAGCTTTTCTAGAGTTTC